CTGTGGTCTGGTCTATATAGCAAGTTCCAGGCCAAGGCTGCATAGTGAGACCTTGTGGCAAAAAACTAAAACACCGAGCCAGGCGTTGGTGGTGCACGCCTTTAGTCCCAGCACCCGGGAGGCAGAGGCGGGTGGATTTCTGTGAGTTTGAGACCAGCCTGGTCTACAGAGCGAGTTCCAGGACAGCCTCCAAAGCCACAGAGAAACCCTGTCTCAAAACAAAAACAACAACAAAACCCAAAAGACAAAAAAACAAAAACACCCTGCACACTGCACTTCTTCACCCTGCACACTGCACTTCTTCACCCTGCGCACTGCACTTCTTCACCCTGCACACTGCACTTCTTCAACCTGCACACTGCACTTCTTCACCCTGTGCACTGCACTTCTTCAACCTGCGCACTGCACTTCTTCACCTGCGCACTGCACTTCTTCACCCTGCGCACTGCACTTCTTCACCCTGCACACTGCACTTCTTCACCCTGCGCACTGCACTTCTTCACCTGGGCACTGCACTTCTTCACCCTGCACACTGCACTTCTTCACCTGCACACTGCACTTCTTCACCCTGTGCACTGCACTTCTTCACCCGTGCACTGCACTTCTTCACCCTGTGCACTGCACCTCTTCACCCTGTGCACTGCACTTCTTCACCTGTGCACTGCACACTGGCAGCCAATTCTTGGCTCTTTCCAGTCTAGGGGGACTCAGGAGAGCCCCCTCTTTTGCACAGTCTATGTCCAGTCGTCTCAGCACCTTGCCAAACCCTCAACTCCAAAAGTGCTGGCTCAGAGGAGGGCAGAGTGGATGCAGCAGACATCCGAGTTCAAGAGTGCGGAAAGCCCATCCCTCCCCAGGGGACAGACGCTCCAGCGCACATGCAGCCTCTTATTAGGTGTGTTCAGAGACCAGCTGACATCAAGGAACAAGGAAACGATAGCAATGATAGCCCAGTCTTCAGTGGGCTGTGGCATCTGGGAACATTGCTCTGTGTGATCATGTTCCCACAAAGCTGTCTGTAGTGGACAGTAGAGATAATGAAGATTATTAAGGAATTTTGAGGCAAGCTCACAAGCACCCAAGCCTGGACAAGAAGACGGTCTCCATTTCCCCCATTCTTATCCAACTCCCCCACCCAGGAATGGGTTTCTGAGCCCCACACACTCCTTGTTTTAAACTTCCAGGGGTCATTCCAGCATAGCAAATGACCCTTCAGCATGTCCCTGAAACAATTCACTCAACAACACAAGTTCTTCTCATTCTCTAGCTTCAAAACTCACACCGCTGACTTCAGACAGCTTATGGTGTAGTGATGATTAAAGGGAAAAGAAATTCAAAGGATTCCTGAGGCCTGGAATTTCTAGACGAAAGGTGACTGCCCCTCTGTAGGGAAGTGCCATCTTTGGTCTGTATTCTCAAAGCTAGGAGTCTGTGTCCAAAAACAGCAGCTATGCAACCTTAGATGCCTGCACTGATCCACTGTAGACTGGTCCTGAGGAAAGCGCTCTGCAGGCCCCTCCTTGCTGGCGTGTGTGCGCGTTTGCTTTCTTTTCAATGTTGGGACCTGAACATAGGGCCTGGTATGTGCTAGCCAAGTGCTCTCCCACTGAACTGTATTCCTACCCCACACATTAATTTGTATCCTTGCATCACCAATCCTAATGAATGTCCAGTAGGTTAATGTAGAGCTGCATGCCATAAAACACAGGCTGTGGTTTTATTTTTCACACGCTCCGAAGTCGTTACCTTGTGCGTAATAAACATCCCATCTTCATCCTGTTCCTTGAAGCACTTAGCATTTATTAGGGGTTTTCTAAGGGGCAGGCATTCTAGGTCTCAAGAATGTATCACTGAATGAAATAGGCATAAGCCCCTGCCCCATAGAGTTGATGTTTTAGTGGGGTTTATAATCATTCTTGAATAATCCATTTTGAGAAGGATTCCACTTTTTTGTGGGGAGGGAAATAAATGAAGAGAATCTTATATCAATGGAGAATGGTAGCCCAATACAGCGACAGGGCTTTTGGGTTTTCAGCCAGCAGACTACATTTAGCTCTGGCTATAAAGACCCCTTTTGCTATTCTTGGTCCTAGGTTTTTCTCTTTTTTTAAAAAAATGTTTTATGAATGGTGTTAAGTTTCATGAATTTGAAAGTCCCAGGAGAATGAAGGACTGGTCTATTATTCCAGACATTTTTTGTTTATCTATGATAAATTTACATACATTGAAAGACACAAATCCCATAGATTCATTAATTTAATATTTGTTTACTTATGCCATGCAGTGCCTGCCTGCCAGGCAAGTGTTCTGCAGCTGAGCCATGTCCCCAGCCAGTGTCTACATTTTTAAGTAAGGATATGTGTACCTTCTGCTGCAGCCACAGTGCAGCATAGAATTACATATCGTGTTCAGAGTGATGATCCTGAGACCCTGCAGGATGCTGAATCGGTAAGAGGAGATTTAATTATGTTCATTAGGCAACTTATTAAAGCAAGGAAATGGACTGAGGCAATTTAGAGCGATTTCAGACAAAAAGTGTCTTCTCATTAACCCATAGTTAATCAGAAACCCAATTAACCAATGTGCTCTGCCCTAGGATTTCACTCCTTTCAGACTTATTTTTTACAACCGTGACCAAGTCACTGGTCCAGATCCCAGCATCTCACTTTTACAGCGAGAAAATCAATGGATTACTTTGTCCCCAGCAGCATGGAAAAAGCTTCCAAAGAGAAGCACTCACCTCAGAGACTGGGAGCTGTTTTGCTTAGAAACAGACCCAAATGACACAGACAGTTCTGAATTTTGCTTTAAAAACACTCTAGAAGTAGTATATTGAGTGTCCTAGTAGTCAGGGTTATTGAAACCCAATAAGCAAAACAATCTGGGGAGGAAAGGACTTATTTGGTTTTTACCCTTCTACATCATAGCTCATTACTGAAGGAAGTCAGGACAGAAACTCAAGCAGGGCAGGAACCTGGAGGCAGGAGCTGATGCAGAGGCCATGAAGGGTACTGCTTACTGGTTTCCCCCCATGACTTTCTCAGGCTGCTTTCTTATAGAACCCAGGACCACCAGCCTAGGGATGGCACCACCCACAATGGGCTGGGCCCTCCTTCATCAATTACTAATTAAGAAAATGCCTTAGAGGCCTGCCTACAGATCTCAATAGAGGTTCCCCTCAGATGACTCTAGCATGTCAAATTGCTATAAAAGTAGCCAGTACAATGAGTGTATGCAAAAATTAAACACCTATTTTCCAAATGTGTTTTTATTTTAAGTTGGTATACAAAATGGTGTTGCACTGTGCATTTTTCATCCCTATACATACATAGTTGGCTCATATCCATTTCCTGTAAACAACCCACCTACCCCTTTGCTTTCAAGTTCGTCTCCCTCTTCCTCTCCTACACATACGGGAGGAAAATGTGATGGTTATCTTTCTGTTTGGTTTATTTTGCTTAACATAATGATCTCCACTTCCAACTGTCTTCCTAAAAATGACAATGTTTACTCTTTTTAATGACTAAACAATATTCCACAAAGTTTAAGTACCGCTTTTGCTTTATTCATGTTGTTGGACTCTTAGGCTGATTCTGTGACTTTGCTATTGTGGCTAGCACTGTAATGAACAGGGCGTGCGAGTACTTCTGCAGTAAGCTGTGATTCTCCGGGCCGTATACCTAGAAGTGATATTGCTGGATCATGTTGAAAAGTTCTAGTTTAAGTTTTTAGAAGTGTCCATGTTGCTTTCCAAGTGACCAGACTTAGTATTGCAGTGTAGTGATATATTTATGATTTATTAAAGAGTCTTTTATTGTTTAACGAGTTAACTGTATTTAACTCAGTTCCTCTGACCTCCTGACACAGTGGGTGGGGCGAGAAGGACCTGGAGGGATTGAGAGGCAGGGAATTTATTGGGGTGAACAAGGGTACTGTCTGGGGGTCCACAACAGTCTCAGGATTGGTGCATTTCCAGGCTTGGACAACCTATCCTGAGTTGATTGGTCAACTGCAACAGGTTGGTTGCTATGGCCTATAGGCTCTCCCACGGGGGTTGCTATGCTCTGCAATCCACTGTTATCATAATGTACATTCAGAGTCTGCCAGCTAACTTCTGATTGGTTCCTTGCCACATGGAGGGTATCTGACTTCCTAGTGAAGGGCAAGGTCTGAAATTCAGCACATGTTGCTGAGTCAGGGGCCTTTGTCTTGCTGGGTCTTTTCTGCAGCCGGTCATGGCTGCTAAAGCAGGGGCTGAGTGAGGGTCTGGTCCCTTCAGTAAGAGCTAGGAAAACAATAGTGCTGAGAGTCATGTGGACTGTGGAGGCCTAGCTCAAGAGGTTTCAGAAGGAGCAATACTCAAAACTGGACTAGAGATGATTCTTATGATATTTCAACAAGAATTATGGCTGCCTTTTGCTCTTGTCCTAAGAACTTGCCTGAAACTAATTTTAAAAGAAAAAGAGTAAGTTATTCGGCAGAGGCGTTTCCAAGACAACCTCATAGTGACTCTGTTACCAGTGATCACTCTTACAGTTTACAATGAAAAAGATCAATGAAGCAGAATAAAAATGTGCAATTTAAAGAGGAAAAGAGCACCAGGAAACTTTATGTCACAGCCACTGCTTGGGCTAAATGAGATAAGAAGGAGAGGCCTGATCTGCATTGGAATAAAGGGAAGGCTACCCTCGGGGAAGATGCCTCTTGGCTAAGCCTCCAACTTGGGAAAGGAAAAGGCTTAAGGACTTTCCTGACCCTAAAAAGCAACTGCAAACAAAGGCTGATGCTGATGTGGTTCCAAGGGGTGAGGATCTATTCCAAGCTGGCAGTGTCATCCATGTGGCCAGGATTCAAGAGTAAAGGGGTCACGGAATCTTTCTTCATGGTTACAGAGAGCTGCTGAGGCCAGGCAATTGTGGTAGGGAAGCTCCTCTGTGAAAGCCTTGAGAAGACAAGAGACCCTAAGAGGCAATTGCATAAAGCTGTGAGAGTGAATCCAGGTTGTGTTCGAGACCCTAGGATGTTGGAGAGGGCAGAGCCGTGAGACATTCATCACGGAGGGCCTCTCTTAGCCCAGACACAATCATGGTGCCCATGGACAGCCCCTTGCCTTTGGACTGATACACCATGTTAGCAAGAAGTTTGGAGGCCGCTGCGACAGAGATGCGCTCCTTATTTCGAAGCTCATAGATTCGACATTGTCGAGCCAGCAACCGCTCCCAGAAGCTGCAATCCGCTGCACCCCCAGCCATGGTGCCCAGAAGGTAAGGGTTGATTTCTATTACTTTCTTCACCGTCTGGGAGGCAATATAAGCTCCTGCTGTGGCCCGGGAATCAGCTGCAACATGACGAAACTTGAAGGCCAGTGTGGTGGTTCCATGAAGCATTTCGATTCTTGGCTGCTCTGGGACACCCCAGCTGGGCGCGGCCAGGTTCAGCCCATCACCAGGACTCCCCGGACCCAGGTCCAGCAGATCTGCACGACCTCCGAGTCCAAAAAACCCATGCTGGTTCACCGGCATCGGCAGCTGCAACACGCTAGCCAGCGTCATGTCTAGTAAGCTAGTTCCAGTGTATTCTCTCTCTCTCCCTCCCTCCCTTCCTTTCCCTCCCTCCCTCCCCCCCCTCTGTCTTGAAGTTGTGGATCAATACGTGAGCTTTCAGTTGTTCTTTCTCTCCATCCTCAGGGTTCTTGTATCCACCATTCTCTTTCCTTGGTGAGCTAGTCTTTTAGAGACATTTTAAAAAAATGTCCTCTCTCTTTCTCTTAGTTTTCTTTTATTCCTTATTCTTCAAAAATCTCTTTCCTCATCATTCAAAATATCAACCTTAATATTTGTATTTTTCTGGAAAT